ATTGCAAATTCCTCAACCGTGCACTTCACATTTTTATTTCATTTTTTATGTTCTCACTCAGAGTGAGATTTAAATTTAACCAGCATTTGCAAACATATTTCTCACCATAATTGTGATGAAGAAGTTCTCAAAATAATTTGATAGTTAATATTTTAGCATAACGAATGCTTATCAGTAATAATCATGAACATATTGAATATTTTTGAAAATATCTCCTTATCAATGTAAGGCTCTTAAATGATAAGAGTTATTGTTTTGCTGATAATGGAAAATATTTCGTAAACGCTGGGATTTCTCTATTGAGTTTAGTTAGTCTATGAAGTTTGAAACGTTCAGAGTTACGAGTCATAAAAATATTTATTAAACTAAAAGGCTTCAATACTTAGAATTGATAAGAATTTTTACAATTCCAATAATATTTGTAAGTGATAAAAATGCGGAAGTCTTCTAAGAATTTAAATACGCAAACGTTTTGTGGTGACAAAGTTTAGCTTAAACGCAAAACAATTATCTATCAGACGACAAAAACCTTTAATGTTGAGTACAAATCTCTTGGCCATGAAAATCTTATCATGGTTTTCATTGTCAATTGAAAGCAATTACCGCTTTACGTCATCTCGAGTCATTGGAATTCTGTCGTTTAGATAGGAGACTGAATAATTAAAATTTCCGAAGTTCATCAAAATAAAATTGTAGAGAATCTAAAATTAGATTAAATGAACGTTATTAATGATAAACAAATTGCAGCTTTGTTGATTGATAAATAATTAAAAGTTTTAATCAATTTTTCCTATTTTCGCAAATCATTTCAATATTTGTTTTGTTTTTATTTCTCTAAAGATTTTCAGACGGTGATAGATTTTTAAAAAGCTTCTCAACTTGGCAATAAAATGGTAAACGTAAGTATGCGATAGCAAAATTTGATATTTTTAAGTGTTAATAAAAAAAGATTCAACTTTGATTCAAATTTTTAAGTGCAAAGATTAGACAAAGACCTTCATTTGAAAGCTTGTTTATCGTTTTTTATCAATCAAATGAACTTTCTTTGTAATCAATCCCTGCCCTTATTGTTTTGTTGTTCATCGTTCAAAATATTGACATCAATTTATTTAACGAAAGATTCATGACAATAATAAATTTTTAGGAATACACGGGACCGCCACCACAAGAGTTGGAAACTTTTCTTCCCAAAGATCAACAAAAAAATGGAATTTCAACGTGAGTAGACAAATTTCACTTGTTTGATAAGATTTTCTATTGAAGTCAGAAATTTTTATCGCACAATTTTACAACTTCATATAACTCAAAAACCTCAACACAATCAATTGATGGAAATTGCAAACCTTTCAATTAATTATTGAATACAAAAGAAAAAAAATTTTTACGAATTTGCGAACATAAAAAATGTTTCAACTCAATACAAATGATTGCAACACGTGTAAAATTATTTCCTTATGCTTCATTTCTGATTCTTTTGATCAAATTACATTCTTATAAATGCATTCACAAGAAATCTAATGAGATTGTAAAGAAACAACACAATCTCAAATTATTATGAACTTCAGACGTAACTTAATTCCTGACGTTGTTTAATATGAATCAAGATTAGCGATCACACATAAATATTTTTATGTAAAGAATGTTTTGGTATGAAAAGAACTTTTCAGCATTTTTTAACAATTGAAGATAATAAAAAGTGAATTATTCATTTCGATTTTGGTTTTTGATTGAGTTGGAAGTGGACGATGAGAGTTGAAGAAATTGATTTAGAAGATAATAGCAAAAGGTTCTGTTAGAAATATTCATTAATGGTTTGCTTTAAATTTATTTTCTTACAGCTATAAAGTTGCACCAGCAGCACCAAGCGATGCTGAGAATGGAACATTACCAGATTTTGATCCTTTTAAGGAGAGACGTGTTGATCATCCAACAACGTAAGAATGAAAAAAAAATAATTTTCCATGTTACCAACTTCTTGATTTCTCTAAATCAGTGATATGGACACTTTGACACATCTGCTGAAAGCTTCATTAGGAACAGGAATTCTTGCGATGCCAATGGCATTCAGTTATGCTGGGTTAATTACTGGAATATTTGCTACAATTTTAACAGCGTTAATTTGCACACATTGTGCTTATGTTCTTGTTAAGTGCGCTCATACACTTTATCGTCGTACAAGAAAGACTTCAATGAACTTCTCAGAAGTTGCTGAAAATGCTTTCGTCAATGGTGAGTGCTTTTTAAAATTCAATTTAAACAATTTAATTTATTCTTTTGATATTTTAGGTCCACGATGGAGTCGTCCATGGGCTCAATTCATGAAAAAATTCATCAATTATGGTCTCTTCGTCACATATTTCGGAACCTGTTCAGTGTACACTGTCATCATTGCTGCAAATATTAGAGAAGTCATTGAACATGTCTTCGATATCCACGACCAAGATGAACGTGTTTACATCGCTTTACTTCTAATTCCATTAATTCTTCTCTCTTGGGTCCCCAACCTCAAATATCTTGCACCATTTTCAACTGTCGCTAATTTATTCATGGGAGTTGGACTTTTAATTACACTTTATTACTTGACAACTGACATGCCAGATATCAACAGCCGACCTCTTCATACATCATTACTCAAGTTACCGCCATTTTTCGGTATCGTGATATTCGCAATGGAAGCTATTGGTGTTGTTATGCCTTTAGAAAATTCAATGAAGACACCGCAACACTTTATTGGAATTTGTGGAGTTTTAAATCAAGGAATGGCTGGAGTTACTCTCGTTTATATTTTGCTTGGCTTCATTGGATTTGTGAAATATGGAGATGATGCCAAAGGTTCAATCACATTGAATCTTCCCATCGAAGAACTTAAAGCACAGATTGTCCGAATTCTTATTGCGCTTGCTGTTTTCTGCACATTTGGGTTGCAATTCTATGTTTGCCTTGAAATTGGATGGGAAGGTATCAAAAATAAATTCACAAAACGCCCTGTTCTGGTCAATTATGTCATGAGAACAGTTCTCGTAACATCTGCTGTGTTACTAGCTGTGGCTGTGCCAACAATTGGACCATTTGTTGGACTTCTTGGTGCTTTCTGCTTCTCAATTCTCGGACTTCTTGTACCTATTGTTATTGAAATGGTCACATATTGGGATCAAGGATTTGGAAAATATTATTGGATCATTTGGAAGAATATTTTCATCACTTTCTTTGGAATCATTGCGCTTTACTTTGGATCCAAATCATCAATTGAAGATATCGTTGCACTTTACAGACAAACAGAGTAGATTAAAATGTAATTTTAAAAACATTTAAATGCATTCATCATTTCGATGGTTTTTATACAATTTTAAGGACATGAAATGCAGGATTATAAATTAATTAGTTTTATAATTACATCAAAGAAAAAGATTTAATTTAGGCTCAAAAAACAGTATCATTGACGAGTGTAAATTACACGATTTAACATTTAAAACCTAATGTTTTGCTGTGATTTTAACAGAATCAATTTTCCCACGAATTATTCATAAATTT